CTGGACGTTTATGGTTTATGGCTCTGAGTATATAGTTATACGCTTTGGCGATATAAGAATGTATGTTGCAACACGCGGCATCGGAAAGCGGAGTGAATGAAAAAACTTACGACTTGCGCGGACAGATGATAGATGATTGCACGGCACACGTAGTAGAACAGAGCTCAATCTTCTGTACCGAGAGCGAAACAATACGGACGGCTAGTCTGTGGAAGAAATTAAAAAGTTATTCCCTTGATTTTTCGCATAACGCGAAGCGATAGAAGGCGAGCCATTGATCTTACCCGAGAAACAAAACATACTTCTGTGCTCGTAGGAGGATATAGCTTCATTTCGTGATATATCATAATTTCCGAGAATTCATTCGTGAATGTGCGATGGGGGAAAAAAAGGAAAGGGAAAGTCGATCAAGAAACCACATCAGACGTAGGTGGCATGAGCGATGCGGTTTTAACTTACGACCGCACGGAGTTTAGCAGCGTGCAGCGTGTAAGGTCAAATCGAATATGAGTAATAAAACGTGGAAGGGTTGCTCCCCGGTCTAGACCTAGAGTATAGAGATCTAGAGTGGACGAGTTTTCGAAAGTGCGGACTGTGACTCCGGCAACACATATCGGGTATACGCCGGCGCACCCGTACACTTATACAGTTGACATTCCGGAAAGACGGTACGCTCGCCGTGGTGTATAAGGTCGAAGAGACCTCCCGACGGAGAAAAAGGTAACCGTCGCGCTCCAGAGATTCCCTGGCCGACAGCCAAACACCCAACAACCAAGAAACCCTCAGACTCAACTGTATCCACTCCATCCAGGGGACTTACGTACCTATCTCTGATCTTTTTCCCTTGTCTTTACGTGCCTTTCGCCCCTATCCTCGTCTCGTCTCGCCTCGCTTCGACTCGCCCTCAAATTCCATTTTCTAACTGTGTTTCTACCCCTTCTGCAACCACCAGTCACTGGCCCTTTTCGGCTGTCGCTTTAACAACGCCCTGTCACTCCCGCGGTATCACTTTCGTTATCACTCTCGTTATCACTCTTGTTTTCCGTTGCCTCTCCCGAATTCGCCGACATTTCCAGCCGTCTTCGTCTCTCGGTCTCGATCGTCCCTACTCGACATCCAGTTTCCCCACCCGGAATATCGCTCACCCGTCTTCGTCAAGAGAACCGTGTGCAGCGATTAAATGAAGAACAAAATCAGTCGACCGTACGCCCTCGATTACGAGAAAGAAAAACCCTTCTCGAGCCTAGAGTGCCAGCCGATCTACTAAATTGCGCGCTTCTTCGGTGAACTCGGTATACGCTCTGTCAGCGACCCGAACGCGAGAAAAGATTATCGCGATGGGATTTACGTTGTTTACATAATTCCGCTTATGTAATTTCCAGTTCAGTTATCGTAACCGTGATAATGCTCGTTTCTCTTTGACGACGTTCTGACGGCGACGTATTTGGGTCGGCGGTGTTCTTACACGAGGATATTTCGCGCGGGCTTGTCTCTCGCGAAGCTCCCGGAGATATTTTGCCTCGCAGCGAATGGACCCTTGGAAGTAACAAAGTTACGCGATAAGAATGCGGCGCGGCAATAAAAACGACCTTAACCCCTAAATAACTTTCGTCCGGGGACGGGGATGTTCGCGGCCCTCGCGAATCTTCTGGAGGACATCAGGTAAAATCGGAGCACGTAGATAAAATCGGTATAGTCCATCGGTAAAATGCGAAAGTCACGTCATTAACCGACCAAGCGCATCGACCTAGTTGCTGCCGCGCCATTAGCAGATAATGACACTTTTTCGAGCGAAAGATGGGTCGGCCAGACTTGAGTTCCCGTAGATAGAACGTAATCGATCGTTCCCTGCCGACGAGCGGCTCGTTTCGGAGAGAATTTTTCTAAAATCGGCCGAAACAAATACTGATGAGGGAAGACTTCGCAAGTATTCTCAGAGCGACTGTAAAGGAGAAATTGAAATCTCCCTTAAGGATCGCAAGACGATAATGTTCGCTCATTACTAACTTGATCGCATCGTTCGTCGAGCTTCGATAAGGATATTTAGCTTATGCAAAAAAATTTTCTGCGCTTCCACACAAAGAAATATACAAAGTCCTGATAATAGAAGTGAGATTGATGAAATTGCGTCGCAACGTTTTCGCAATAATGACGTTAAATGAATCACGTTTTACCTTACAATCGGGTGTATATTAAATTTTTTAATTAACTGTAAAATTTCTGAAAATCTAAACGTGAATCATAGTGAATTTTTGTCACGATTAAAGGACAGCCTTGCGTCGTTGTTAGTGTACTTGGAAAAGAAGAGTTACCGTCTTCTCAGAGAAGTCAATATGCAAATATCTTGGAGAAGTCAATATGAAAATAGCAAATCCTTACACAATGGTGACTTACTGTCATTCGAATGGCATTGTCGGGGGATATGTTCGCTGCACTCGCGCTTGCAACTCGGCACAGCTTATTTCTTCCGAAAGTACCCCGACAGAGGCATGCGGCGCATCCCTTCGTGGGCGTTAATATTCTCGATGGGTGGTCCAGCGAGCCAGGAGCGTCGCTTTCGCCGAGAGGGTGGCTGCTAGAAAATATGCGAGATATCGGAGAACCCTCGATCAGTTGCGCCCACCTTCTCCGTGTTATCACCATGACTACCGGACGAAACAAACGGTAGCCGGCATGGCTGCTAAGCCTCGGCAGCCTGGCAACCAACCTCTCGCCCTGCGAGAATGAACCCGTCGCTTTGTGCTCCCAGCTGTCAGGACTCTCCGGCCGATAGAGGTTTCTGTACCTAAACCTATCCACCTACCGACGCGCGCGCGGTTCAACGGAATCGACTCATTCGCATCTGACACGCGCCAATTTATGCTCGGAATTACAAAGGAAACGTTACATCCTGTGTATTGCAAGCGAGCCTTTGAGGTTGCGAGTGACGAATTGCAAGGCCGTGTCGATGACACAACGATTCCGATCCCGTTTCCCAGATTCCGCCAGCGAACCCGATCTAAGGTTGAATCGGTGGTGTGCGTGTGTGTGTGTGTGATCGGTGGCAGCTTCGCGCCAATGTGTTTGCCTCTTTCGTGCGTATGCCATCAAACGAATTGCCGCACGTCATTATCGCACTTTGCATTATAGCTACGATTAAACGTTGGGCAGGCTTGTTGGAACGCAGGATTCGAGTGCAGAGACTTGTTACATTGCAAAAGGATTCAACACTTTATTATAAAGATGTAAACACAGTAGTCGATATAAAACAATATAATGATGCTCCTTATCAGTGCGTAGTGAGTTATACTTAGAATCCAGTGTATAAAGTAAAGATCCTCGGGGCGTAGACAGTGACAAATTGCTGCAGAAATAAGAGGGTGAAAGCGGTGGTTAGAAGAGTCTTATGGGCCAAAACCGGTGTAGAAGGTCGGTATATCAAAGTAAACGAACGAACAAACTATCCTTGTTATTTTTTATTTTGCAGCCTCTTCCTCCAGGCTCACTCACTAACTTCCATTATATTCAGCCTTGTTATTGATTCAACAGCCAATTTTCGCGTTGTGTGAAAATCTCTCTTCCAACGTAGAGAAGATATTCGTTTTGCGTTACAATCGCTCGACAAAAAGAGCTTGTTATCGTTTCTGTTAAAAGATAGAATACATCCCGGTTGGATTATCTTTGTGTGGAGTTGTGAATGGAAAGAGATATATCTCTTTAAACGCTTGGCGTATGTAACAAAAACCGACGGTACACAATACGGACGTGTATACAACAGCAAAATGTTAAATGTTCCGGAAGTATTCGTCGTCGATGACGTTTACGGAGAGAGAAAATTAAGCATTATCCGATAAAGAGATTTGGCGATCTCGCGGCGGCGACCAAGGCGAGAGCGTCAGACGACTGCGGTCGATAGCAGGACGTCACTGACGGTTACATTAGTCATGAACGCATTAACTATACAGATAAAAGGAAGGCAGCTCGCGACGACCCATCAACTAGAATATGCATGACGCTACGAACCGACAGACCGGAGACCACGCACGGCGAACGAAGGCTAAATCGAATGGCAACGTCAGCCTGCCATCGGGCAGGAAAGAAAGTTTGAAAATTAATTATGCATGCGCGCGCGTCGCTACTCGTTGATACCAGGGCCTTTACGAATTCGCCTCGACGATTGCACTTATCACTCTTCCGATTTGTCTGTTCCCGTAGTCCGCACATCTTCGACACAAACCCTCGACTAATTAAAGCGCATTGTTAATTCGGTTGACGCGCTCCTCAATTTCTGCCCTCGTGTCGATCGTTTTCGCGGGGCGTTTTAAAAACGCACGGGCGTAATTAGAAACGGTGTAAGCACGCATCCGTTTTGATCGTTCCATTTAAATAATTCCGCAGACACTAGACTCGAAACAGGGTTAAAGCACTTGCGAATACGAGAACAACTTGCGTTTAATAAACTCAATTATCTCGTCGCATGACACAGGTCAAGTTGCCGAGAGTAGAGGAATATCTGCGTCCGCCGCAGATCCTGTTACCTGTCTAAGTAATTAAGCAGTAGTTACGGCGGCATATGTTTCAGCGAAATGCCGCAGTATGCAGCAGCTATGAATCAAATGCACAGAAAATTGGAACACGCCCGGAATGTATCGAAGAATTTCCCTTCGCGCTACATTATACTTTAGGGCAGAATATGATGCAGACGGAATATCCGCATTACCGTCGGATCAATTGAAGAACATGATTTTCGTGCTAATTACCCAATTATCGTTAACCAGAATTATTGAGATTACGATTGTCGATTTTATCGAAATCGCAATGGGTCTCGAATCGTCACACCGGCGTTGAGTAAAGCGTTAGCGGGCATACGTAATCGCGCGTCGTGGTTACTCGCGGCTGATAGTTTGCAAAGCGGCGTTTGTATCGCCGTTAACCGGCGCAAGACTGATGCGTTACTCGATCGCCGAGTGTGACTTTATGCAGCAGAGCATTAAGGACAAACGTTTCGCTGTGTGTTGCAGAGTACTTGATGTCAGGAAGTCCACGGAGTTATCCAGCGCGCTCCCCGGGGGTCGCTTCCACGCCAACCGTGACCAGGTGAGTTAGTGCGCACCTCCCGCGAATTTCGCCAATCCGTATACGCGAATGTGCGACGTCGGCTCTCGTGCCATGCGACTCGCAAATGTGACACATCCATATTCCAACCGGACGGAATAACGTGGCGTAGATTCTCGCAAGGGCGCGAACGAGTAAGCGGATTTTTCTCGCTAGAGCAGCAAATCGGTCAGCCTTATCGGTTTTACCCGCTGGCTGGGTTTTACGTGGCTGAATTAAGCCCTAGCAGCTACAAAGAATCGATGGCCCGCGACTGATTCGCTCGGAAACCGTGAACACATCGTGACGTTCGATGGTTTTCGACCGTCGCGTATATCGCGCCTCGCGGCTTTCATTATCGTCGCGTTTACTACGGGTTCACGTGGCTCAAAAGTCAAAGGTGTAATTTTTACAAAAACAATCATCGAATTTATTAACAAATATCTTCCCAAAGTTACTCTCTTTTGTATAACGCTTTTAAAGTTTTTTTTTTCACGCTATATAAATACAGACCACTGAATGCATCCTGCGCTCGGGGATGATTTTTTACGCGTAAGCGCTTTAAACGAGCCAGAGGCCGTTTTCCCCGCGGTCACGAGGAATGCCGCCCGCGACAGAACTCGAGTGCGAAAAGTTTCCAGAGTCTAAATCAATCGGTCGGGAAGAGAAGACGGCCGAGGGCGCAGTAGGAAGCGCGATAAGTACAGAAGGAACTCCGTGACGATCCGACCGATGGGAGGCGGTTGAGAAAGAGCGGGAGGCAGAGAAAGAGACACGTCTAAAGATGTTCCAATTCAAATGAGTTGAACTTTTAAAATATTTAGAATGTTGAACAGGCCCCGTCCCGGCATTTCCATTTCGCTCCTCCGTCTCCTCTCGCGCCAAGCGTGCCGGTCGATCGCCGTCGGTGACGCGCACGAAATTTCGAATTAGTTCGCTCTTTATTCTACCTCATTACCGTCCCTCGGCGTTCCTCCTACTTTCTTTTCTCAAGCAGCTAATGGCCCACTACGTGCCGCAATTCATATTTCATCGCTCGCACGCGGAATGTTTCTGAGCGACTTCGCCTAATGTAGCTGATGTCTCTCATTGCTATTTTATTTTATATGACTTTATAAGTACGAGAAAAATATTTCTGCTTATAATTGACCTTTCGAGAAGAAGAGCACACGAGCAATTTAAAAGCGGCGCAGTCACGTTAATTGCGTGGCGTTCTCGCAGAAAAAGTGTCTCTTCGTTAGTCTATCGCGTATAAGGATTTGAAATAGGTACCTACGTCAAGCAATTGCAGCGCGATTATATGAATAATAAAATGATATCGATGCTTTATGAAACATCGCTCGCAGCTTGGATTATCCAATTTATGTCGCATGCCAGTATTAAGAGGTTCTCTCGTTTAATTTGCTCCCCCGAATTACGAAATATCTGTACAGCGTACAGACATGCGACCACCTGTCTCGCATGGTCTTACGGAATATTAATTAACTATAATATTTGTAGTGATTGACACGGGATTTTTGCTTCGCATTACGCATTCATAGGTAGTCACGCGAGTTCGTCGATCTTTTCTCGAGGATCTTGAACTCTACTCAGGGGTATCGATCTCATTCTATACTTACGCCGCACGATAGCGTTTCTATTTTGAATCCCACCTATCGGCAAAGTACCCGGGTATAAGACAACATTGTTACCGTCGTGTAAAGCCCACTTGTGATAATTCAACCTCGGTATATACGAGGCATTCTATTGACATATCATCGTGCAATTTGCCCCAGCGATCTTCTAACGGTGATTACGTGATCTCCTTAATCATAAAGGATACGAGACCATTACGTACAGAAATTGATGAACAGAAATAGAAAATTCTATCCAAAGACGCCGTCACTTCCGAACGATAATCGCATCGACCCTTAACGCTCTCTCGCAGTTTTTTTTTTTATTATCGGCCGTATACTTTTACCTCTCTTTCTCTTCTCGAGAGAAAACGCGTACCAGTCTCGGCAAAATGACGAGAGAAGGAAGGGCCATAGGTGTCACCGGAAACAGCAGGTCAGTGAGACGGAAGGTACTCTGTTGCTGAGGCAACGCGGCTAAAAGAACACGCGCGGCCCTTGTCCGAGAGAGCGAAGGAGAGTTTCCTCCCTCGTTCCATCCTTCCTTTTACTCGTCGTCCATCCGTTACGCCTTACCCCGACTTCCTTCTAAAGACTGCTAACGACCGAATCCGCCGAGAACACCGATCGCGATAGCTCGGTGCTCGGAGAAAACCGCCAACTTTTCCCAGTACTAAATATATAACACTCGATATTTCGGAAAAATCAAATAAATTCTTTCTGCATGGCTTCTATATTTACTCGCGCTTGTAGTGAGATTATTTTACATCTTTAAAGAAACGTGCGAATTATTTCAATCTGTCACTCCTAACTGTTCAAGCTGTAGAAATTCATACTGGTGGCTTTTATTTTTTTCCCCCCGTTATCTCTGCGAAATATTATATGTAATAAAGATTAAGAGTAAGGTGACGAATTTTATCTATTAATTTATAAATTTTATTTATCAATCGGGAATGCGATAGGTGTATAACATTTTTAAATCGCTATTTTCGTAAGTTTATCGTTTCCTCTTTTTAGATTACATTACAGACATCATAAGCTTAATATCGATCTGTACATCGATATCAAAGAAAGTAATATGTTTTTTTTTACCTTTTTCTTAGCTAGAATAAACGGATACAGTCTTGGTCGTATTTCGGATGATACGCGAAAGAAGACAATCGCTTTTCTATAGTATTTATCGCTTATTAACTGCAACAACGTGATTAAAAAAGACACTCGCTACACTTGACCGGCGATAAAGACTTCCTTCTCCGTCTTTTTATTTTTCTCTTGAACGTTCCATCTTACCTCTCCTTGCTTTACTATTTCTGCTATCGGTTTGTAACTACAGAATCGATCGAAATGGCAATCATTGTTGATGCCCGTGAAAAATTAATGTTGTTTTCGAGAAAGAATTTTAAAGTTATATCAAGCTTATTTTTGCAAATACAATTAGTATTATGAGTTTTGCAAGAAAAATAAGCTATGGCGACATAACATCGTTAGAAAAATTAACTACGCTTGGATGTGTCCTTTATATTACTTAAAATAGTTCAATTTGCACAATTTTTTACTGTCTGCTATCGGTATCTGCTAACAATATTCATTTTACTGAATTGTCATCCCTTCTTTACAAAATAGTATCTTTTGGTAAATAGGTACTTTTATTATTTTTTTACTTTCTAATATCAAAAATATTTTTACTCTGTGCACATTTGTAAAAGCATATCAAAAAACTAGACAAAGTGACAAAGATTTGAAATCAATTTCGCAAACCGTTATGAAGAGATTAAAAGAATACACCGAGATATCATAATTTTTTTTTATAGAGCGTAAAGCGTAAAAAATTCGCAGCATTTTCTTCGAAATATCGGCAATGTATTTTACAGAACAAGACGACCGGTGACGGGAGAATTATGGTGAACGTTGATAAGACCTCAAGAAATTTATTGTTCAAAGAGTACCGAAACGTAGTGCCTCCCTTTTCAATCTTTTACCTTTCATTTCAACTGCTACCTGATTTCCCATGATACAGATTTTCTTATGCTTTCTGTTGTTTGTTTAATAATGAAAATAACTCCTGCTGCGTTCCAGGGAGTTAAAATTAGATGTAAATGACAGAAAAAATGGAGGAGTACATCTCAATCCGAACAAATTCACGGTTAAAGCAGGTCGACACCCAAGTGCGCTTCGTTTAACTCTGTATTACGTTCCTTAATTCTCCAGGTCGCCTCTGCACTGTGAAAAGTAAGTTGTTTACCATGCATCCTTTCCCTACGTACCTCGGCCGCGCTCTGTGTAGCTACGGTTACGGGTATGCTTTTGTCTCTCCGCGGAGCGACGGCGGAACTATTTAAATTAATCAACATGGAAACCTTAATCTCGCCCGACGTCTTAATCCCAGCTTCAATTTGCGCGCGACTCGGGCTTCTCTTCCTCTTAAACTTTCCATCCGCCCTACCGAACCGAGCCTCGTTCAGTAACGTGCCTTTCACGAAGCCAAATTTAAAATGTTTTCTTCTTCCTCGCGCGGGATGTATTCTCGTTGCTGCCCCTATTTGGGATATACAAAAGTTTTGAACGATTCTTTTGTGATGGAGTTGTTGCGGCTGTTGTAAGCTAGAAATAAGACGCGCTCATTATTAATCTTCCTATACTTTTCTAAGGTATTTATAAAAATTAATATATTTTTGTAATAATATAAACTTTTGTCCTGAGAGAGGGAGAGAGAGAGAGATATTGTTTGAATAAAATAGGAAAATGCAAGATTAACTGGCATTTTTTGCGTATATTTTTATTTTATTTTTTAATTCACTAAAATAACAATGATTGATTTATTAATGTCGCACAACTTTTCAATTTGGTTAAAACTGTGTCACAAGGAAAGGAAAGTAACAATAACAAATTCATTTATTATATATTGTATAAATATTTTATTTATTAAAACATAGATACATTTTATTCTTTAAATAAACAGTAGATTTAACTATTTGTTTGAAATAAAAGATTTAATCGATGATTTAAATTTTTATTAAATAAAAGAACTAAGTGATTTGTGTGACATAAAAACTTTGTTATTAATGTAATAGATTTATTTGATCTATATCTCTCACATTAATTAAATTGCAATATACCTCAGAAGATAAAACGTTCGTTCAATCAAGTGAAATTAATCTTAAATGCGCTGAAAGATGAATTCGCGAATATGAGATAACGCAGAGTTCAGAACATGAGATATTATTATTGATTTGAAATACAATAGGGAACATCTGTTATTTTTTATATTATAATACACGCGTTAAGAACGTATTTCGTATCAGCGACGGGTTTGTTGACCTGCACATGGCCTTTGACACTTGTCCTCGTTCGACGCGACGCATTATTTCGGAGCAAAGACAGTCATTTTAG